GCCTCAGTTGAGATTTCCCTACGATGACCTTCATTTGCTAGCCAATCTCACAGTCTACAGCTAGGTTGCTTTCTCTATGTGTATTTCTCTGTGTAAAAGTGAACGTTGGCATTTAGTTGACCTTCATGAAGACAAACTATCTTCTAACACTCCTCTTTCAAAATATTTGCATCTCCAAGTAGCTTCAACTAAGTCACCTTTGATAACCACTAGACCTGCTCATGGGCTGAACTCGGGCTTGGATTTTTTCAAATTTTAGATGGAACCTGACCCAAAGCCCGAGCCTGACACATTGTAAGTCAAGCCTAAAGCCAGGTCCGTGAACAAGTCTAATAACCACCTATGTAGCTCCAAAATCTTTGGCCACATTGAGAGCTTCCTAACCTACTCTCATTTCAGCTTTAGTGATAGTACACAAACCTAGGGCTGCAAAAAAGTCAAACCAAACTCGATTTGAATTTGAATATAATCCAATAATAGCCGGATTTGGATACCTCCATTGGTCCTAATTAATTGGATCGAATTGAAAAATTATATACCCCTATCTGATCCGTTAGTTATGAAATATTATAATATAATATACTATTTATATTATATCATATCATTTTTTATAATAGTTCTAGTTGAATCAGATATCTGATAAGATGTTCAAATTCAAATTCAAATCATACTCTTAAAAATTTGATGGATTCTTATCAAATTCAGATTGGGTCAGATATACCCTTTACCAAATCCAAATTGATCCATTTGCAACTATTAACAAGCCAATCTCTCTACTAGTAGTTATGGCTTGAATGGGGACACAAACAATCCCTCAACCACCACCAACTACCAAACCTAAGGGCATGTTTGTTTCCTCTTAACTCTTATTTCTTAAGAGGAATCTTTTAATTTTAAGAGAAAAATGGGTGCTCGTTACCTCTTATCTCTTATTTCTTAAAATGCAATCATACAACCTTTTGTTTTCCAATGATACCCCAAAAAGATAAACAAAAACTCTCATTCTCATATATGGGGTCAAAATGGATATTTGATAAATTTTAGAATTCAGAATTCAAAATTCATTCCCTGCTGAGTTCAAAGTAAAGAAAAGTTCATCAATACCAATGTACCTCTTAATGTAATTATTGCACTTTCAGATGTCAAACTTCAAAACAAACAAACAAGGCCTAAGTCATGAGCTTTGGCTATTATTTCAATGAATTTGCATACTTGTCCTCCATGTTCTTGCTCAATTATTGATTCTTCATTGTTATTGAGTTGAGGGTAGAATGAGTCATTTGGTAATAAAACTAGTGCCGACTTGCTATCACAATATGTGAGGTTGTGACACGTGAGCCTTAGGTTTCATGCCCTAGCACTAGAAAGGAATTCTTATTATTCCAAAATCAAGCAATTTAAATCAGGGTTGTTTTATTTTGTGCATCTGAAAGGTTTTTCCCCATGTAGAAGGTACCATGTTTAGTAATTCAAGTGCCGAAAAATTTTACCAGAGAATGATTCCTTCTTTGGTAAATTTGCGTTTGAAAGATGCATATGACCAATTGAGTCAAAACCTATGGGTTGAATAACTCTAAAAATAAACATGATTAACCCAAGGCTGCATTTTTTTTGGTGTAAATGTAGATCGGTGTAAAACTTTACTCCTAGCCTGTATTTGCTGGCATTTGGATGGAGTTTAGTTTTACATCGAAAATCGATGTAAACTCCACTCACGATAGAGTTTTATATCGATAATCGATGTAAATACAACATCGAAAAAATCAATATAAATATTTACATCAATAATCACACTTTTCAAAGTTACAATTGGTCATTCATTTAAATTGATTGGTGTTGAACTCCATTGGTGTACTTTTACATCGATAAGTATTTACACCCGAAAACAAAATCAGCCCAAATGTTAAAATGCATACACATTTAAAGGTTTGTTATAAGCTTCTCTTAAACATACCTTGACTTTTCATTATGCCTCATTATTATTTTTGAATGACAAAACTAAGGCTATAAATAAATCGTTTAGGATTTAGTATGCATTTGCCCTATGACATTCTTAATTAGGTTTCATCATGGGCCAAGTTAGGCCATAGGCCTACTATATAGCTTTATTTATGTAAACATTTTAAATGGAATTTAAATTAATAAAAATTAGTTTTAAAATTAATAAATTTCTCATAGAAAAATTAATTTTATAAGATTATTATTTTTATTAATTTATTTGTAAAACTAATTATTTTTATTAATTTTATTTGAACCTTCAACATTGGGGTAGATACAAACCAAGTTTTTCACAAGCTATTTGAGCTTGGCTTGTAAATAGCTTGGTTCAGCTTGGTCTAAATTGAGCTTCAAGCTAAACATAAATCTAGTATACATGCTTATTTGCTATTCAAACCATCCTAATAAAATTCATCTCTTGAAGCTCGCAAACCTAATCAAGTTTATCTTATATATCACATTTATAATTTTTTATATGTATAACTTTGTTATTTTGATATGAAGCTTGGTTCACTATTAAAGTCAAGCCGAGTTGAGATTAAACATATGAGATTTTGAGTCAAGCCGAATTGAGCTCATGTATCTAGCTTGAATCTTGGTTGAACTCGGACTCGAGCCTCATTTTTTTGCCTGAATCGAACTCAGCTCACCTCAAATCCCCCCCTACTTGAGCATAATTTGGTCATAGATTTGTTATCATTTAACTTAGATGTCTAGGTTCAAGTTCTTTTCTTAGTGTTTTTTTTCCTTTTTGTTTTTGCTATAAGAATTATTGGATATAACATAGAACTAAGAAATTTAATAAAGTAATTGATAAGAAAGAGAATTAGTGGCATGAGTTATTTGGAGGAGAGAGGGCCATGGGGAATGGCCTAATTAACAAGAGATAATAGGAAAATCTTGAAAATGGTTGCCTACTTGAGTTATTTTGATATACATGTAGATAAAACGGAATATAAATAGATGTTCCAATATGAGTTAAGTGCAATGTTAGAAAGCATTAAATGTGAGATTCATAAAAGGCAAGAAAGATAGGACATTTTAAAATGGGTCATTTATTGAAACACACCCCATAATTTCATGGATTTACTAAAGCCTACCTATAGTTTGTGTTTAAATACACCCCCTATAGTTTGCAACTGATTAAACCAAGTAGAAAATGTTTAAAGGCATGAGCCTATGTCCAAATGTACCCCTAATACTTTATATCAAGCTTTTAGAAAGAAAAGTGTATGGTTTTTAGCAAAACGAAGAGAAAACAATGGAACAATTGATGGAATAGTGGTTGCCCATGTTTTAGCAGGGATATGAATGAAATCTCCATTTTTTACTTTCTTTTGATTAAATTTGTTTCAACATATGTGGTGCAAAAAATATCATTTTCCATTTCTGTCTAATAGAAAGTTGATTAAGTAATATAGTTGCAAATTATAGGGGGTGTTTTAATAAAATGTAAACTATTGGATAAGTTTTAGTAAAATTGTGAAACAAGGATGTTTTAGTAAATGATAAGTTTTAGTAAAACTATAGGGGGTGTTCTATAAATGATGACCTTTTAAAATTTAAATTTGGCTGAATGCAAGGTTTTAAATTTCGCAACGTATCAGCCGATACATATTGTTTCGGAAGAGTTCCGATACATGGAACATATATAATTACATGGTTTCATATTTTTTCATCCGTATTGGACCAATACGGATCCGTATCAACTTTGTATCAGCTGATACAACCCAAAACGCGTCGATACGCATTATGTATCAACTGAATTTAGTTTCCCTCTTCTTTTTAAATTATCTCTTCTCTCTCTCATTAATATAAATTTTAATTAAGTCTTAAAGTTTGAGACGTCACAAATGCTAATATAATTTAATCAAATGCTCATTTAAGTTACCTTCGATTACAGCATTTAATATGTCATTAAATGTTATTTAAGTGAAATAACTTGTTAAAAATCACAAGCTAAAGGTAACAAGTTTCAAACCCAAGTCATTTGCTTATAACAATAATTAATTAACCGTTATGCCAATCTTAATTACTTATTAGAATGACTTTCTTGCCTTGGTGGATGTTTCCCAACAAATGCTATCAATTTGATTATTAATATTTATATAATACAAGTTATATTTATTTATTAAAAATTAAGGTATATATTAACTTGTATACATAATAAATATTAATTAATAAATGATTTCAAAAAAATATTAACTAATAAATATTAGTATATATATACACACATTTTAGTTCTATTCGATACTTTATATAAATCATTAAAGAATGGTTTTTATGTTTAAATAAATTAGTTATACTCACATAAAACTCATTTTTATTATTGTTCATATTTTTAAAGATGTTTTTTTAGATTTTCTAGTGTATCCATGCATATCTTGATTTTCCGTCTATATCTATACGTTTCCAAAGTGTATCTCGATACGTCTCTTAAAATTACCTTTCCGATGCACTTTGCATTTTCAATACTTTGAACCTTGGCTGAATGTTTCAAGCGTAGCATAGAGTGGAATGTTTAAAAGTGGGGCCATTCCGGCCTTGCCATGTTTCAGTCAACATGGAAACCGATTCCACATGCCCCCATTTTAGGCCAACATGGAAACCGATACACCTCTACTGGCATATCAGGCATATCAATATTTTGAACCTTACATACAAGGTCATCATTTATAGACAGCCTCATCAGCCAACACATTTTAGGGCCAGGCCTTGGGCAACACTTAGGGCTGCAAAAGTATTGAATAATATATAGGAAGATCCATATTTGATTCGTTCATATTCAAATTTGAATCTTCTTACCAAAAGAAATGAATCAGATTTTGCCCATTGGATTTGTGCCAGATTCCAATCGAATTCGATTCAATATTGCAGTACAGTGAAATAAAGGATTTTACCGTGTTTAACAATTTGATATGCTGAATTTCTTTCGTATGAAAGATATATCTCATTACCTTAAGCCTTACTATTGATGAGGTCTCAATACAGCGGAAAATCACTGACATAAAACTGACCACACCAATTTGTAATGGTGATAAATCTCAGCAAGGTTGGATGCAAATAGACTGGTTAATATTAGAATCAAAAGTTAGCTCAATATTGAGTCATCTTTGGAGAGAATTACAACTCTAATGCTAAACTAGCTAAAAAATCGAAAAAACTTCAGGAGGCTACTACACATTTGGCTTGTAGTCTCCAGATGACTGGCCCCAAAAGACCCTTTGAACATCTCTACATCAAGAAATCTATATAGTGCTCCCATTCAAATGCCTGAGCGCATCCCTGGTAAATACAAGCAGTTTAAAGCTCATCGTGGCTCTGTGGTTGTCCTCTGTTCATTAAATCTAGCTTATCTTGCAGTTCCTGTCACATTCATGGTTTTTCATATTTTCATGAAGAGATTAATTATCAAAAAAAAATAGCAATGATCTCCTAGGTTGAATAGAAAAGTACCTTAAGCTTTTCTTCTAAGCATAGAGCAGGGGTTGACAACACTGCTACATATCTACAGTGGATAAAGAGAAATGAGGCCAAAGCTGAGTCAGTCCAGAGAAAGGAGGTTTTCTTTTTTATTTTTACAAGCAAGAAAGGAGGGTTGGGGATACTTACTCACAACGGCTGGGTTCATCTACATCAGCTAGCTCATTCTTCAATCCACACCTAAGCTTTACCTGTAAAAAGCATTCATGCTGAGAATTGCATAAACTCCAAGGATCAGTTCAAGTGATTACTTATTGGAATCTCCTCGAACTGACATGCCATTTTATCTAGGAAACATGGTTTGAGCCAATGCTTGAATTGTTCATAGCCCAAATACCACACCAGTCTTCAACAAAGCACATCTCTTGGTCAGAGAAAGAAATAGTCTGCATAGTCATTGACAGTGTTTCAAAAGCACTAGGGGCAATTTGCACCCAAGGCACAAGGCAAAAAAAATGCCAAAAAAAAATATTAAACATAATATTAATTAAAATATAAACTTAAATTTTAAAATAAATGTTTCAAAAAACTATTATTTAAAAATAAAAAATATAAATATAACATGTAAAACATATTCAAATGAAAATTTAAAAATAAAATCAAACATATAAAACATATTCAAGAATGTAAAACCCAGGCATTCCGTTTAAATCACTGCATTGACAATATCACATGGTGTACTTGACTGGTGTGGCTTTACACTATGAACAACCCATCAGGATCCAGGATTTTTATGGTCTGGGAAATAAAAAAGGGGTAGCTATGAATGTTCACATCTCAGAAGATCCTCACAGTAGGGATATACAATGGTTTCTGGTACCTTCAAGCTTCTATCAGGCCCATTCCAGCATCTATCACCATGTGAGAATATCATGACTTTGTATGAGTCCTCAAATTTCTCCCAGTGCCTTCAAAAATTGGACAAAGTATTAGTTGGTAACTTCTAAAACTGTAAGAGATCATCCCTCCAATAAATAAACCGTCTTTTAGGCTAGGATAGGGCATAAATTTCATACATATCAAAAGAAGATGAATCACTTCCTAAATTCTAGATTTGTTTTAAATTGTGAAATCATAAGAAAAGCTTATTTCTTTAGAATTGAAAATCAGCCATTTTTCTCAGCCAATATGATATTTGGCAAGCTTATCATGTTAAGACATGTCCTTGCATTCTATTGTTTTCTGCATCAGTGATTTTTCTTTCAATCTATCATGTAAAGCATGGAATTTTGATTGCTAATCCTCGCAAGGATATAAATGGATGCATGACATTGATACAATGTCTAGGAAACTGGACCAGACCGGCCGGTCAGACTGGTTGAACCATGACCCAGGGCCCGGGCCAGTTTAGTCACACCCGAATAACCGTATTTGCTAAAAACCTGGTGAAAACCGGCTGATTGGACGGCATAGTTTTTAAGGCGCCAAGGCAAGGCTAGGCGACAGGGGCGCGCCTTGTCGCCTAGTAGCCTGGGGGATGGATTTTTTTTAAGTAAAACCATATATCATAATGTAGTTCCCTAGGTTCCATAACCATTTTTCCTTAACAATTATCCATAATTTTCATAAGAGAAGTATAAATTTCATGTTTTAAGTTTAGAAAATCAACATTTTATGAGAAGAAAAGGAACAAAGGAAAGAAAATTCAAAAAATATAGGGACTGAACCCCTACTTTTGTTATAGGAAAAGAAGAAAATGAGAGGTGGAAGAAGAAGATCTGTATGAAGAAAATGTGTTGATTAGACAAAATTTTAAGTTCTTCCCTTGCTTATTGGTTTAGGTTCTGAAATCTTTGAGGATTCAATCAAGGATCAAAACATCAAATATGATACGCCCTATATCGGGTGTATATCTTTGGCGCCCCAATACACATGTTTACAAGTGTTTTCAGAAACCCATTTTTTAGAATAATATATATATTCAAAAATGAAATTGAAAACCAAAGAAATAAAAAATAGGGGGAGTATTGCTATAAGTACTGATACAACTCTGCCGATACATGGAGGTGTATTGATACTTTGAACTATGGGTTCAATACTGCACTTAGCAATATTGTGTTGATTAAACCCTAACAAATAAGAAAATAATAAAAAGAAATTAGTACATAAACACATATAATGAGTATTCTAGTTTAATAATGCCTATTTTATAATTACTAGTAATTAAGCACATGCATTGCATGTGAGAAAATTTTCATCATATTAATTACTTGAATTTTAGATATATCATAGTTAAGATAGAAATTGAAAATTAACAAAAGTAACAATATGATTAAAAATAAACTTAAAYATTTGTTATTCAATTATGACATCATGGATTTCTTGGAAAAGTTGGATCATTGACCCACCATCTAGATAAGAAAATAGCATTGCTTTTGGATTAGTTTTAAATTAGGGAAAATTATAGTCAAAGCCGGCTGTACATTTAAAATTAGGCTACAAGTTGGTCCATAAACCAATTTAGCTCTGATAATTGGCTCTACATTTTGAATTATAAAAACCCTTGCCATGTCATCAGAGCCTTATGTGGCTATTGCCAACATGGGACTCTTAATCCATGTTGGACACAACAAAAAGCTTATACTAAAATTGCCCTTTAATGTTAGATGATTGGAAAATTAAAAAAAAGGTTTTTAGTCTCTCTCTCTCTCTCTCTCTCTCTCTCTCAATCTCCCTCACACCATCTCACTCACAGTCAACTTTATCTGCTCAACGACTATGTGATTTGAAAATAAATAAAAATGGTTTTTGGTTTTTGTATTTACGTTATCTATATCAATTTCTCTCATTCTATCTCTTTATTATAGTTCTCCCTCAATCTCTCTCATTCTCTTCCTTGGTTGATCTCTCCTTTTCCCTTAATTTCAATCATTCTCCTTAGTTTCTCCCGCTCCCTCTCTCATTTGTGTTATTTTCTTACACTTATATGGTATTAATCAGATCATATAAAAGAACATGAGACCAACTTGGTATGGTTCAAAAATTATTAGACCAATTTGATAAAAAATCACAAGAAACTCTTGGCTATGAAATTTACACCAACTGGAGAATGATAGAGATTGAGAGAGAAGGAGATATTGACTGAGAGGGAGAGTGAGGGAGAACAATAGAGAGAGAGGGAGAGAGAGAGAGGTTTTGATTTTCCTACAGACCTAAGCTGAGAGAGTGGAAGAGACAGAGGGAGCGGGAGATCGAGAGATGACTGTGAGAGTGAGAGAGAAAGGGAGGGAGATCGAGAGACAAAGGGAGTGGGAGAGAAAATAAAAACCTATTTTCGGTATAGGTTTTTTGCTGTGTCCAACAGGGACTAAAAGTCCCATGTTGGCTATGGTATCATTTGACTCAAACCACTAACCCACCATCTAAAAATAAAAATTGTTTGATTTCTAGGTTGACATTAAATTTTGTATTACATTTCCATCATTGATAAAATCATTTCTTATGTATAAAACTTATTTTTGTTTAATATAATGAATGCACAATATTAGAGATGTACCCAATATTTTATTTTTTATAAATATATAACATTAGATATGTCCCCAAAATTTTCTCTATCTTTTTTTTTTTTTATTTTTGTGATTCTTTGTATTTTTTATTATTAAAAATTTTATTATTTGACTATGACATCATTTAATTTCTAGGTAGATTTTGAATTTGGCATTCCATTTTTATCATTAATAAAAATACTTCTTACATTTCATAGTTATTTATTTAAATTTTTTATTATTTAATTATGGCATTATTTATTAATCCATTTGACCCCAAATGGTTGAATTGCTTGCCCACCACCGGAAGGGAAGAAAATGGTTTTGTTTTCAAATTAATTTTCAAAATATTTATTTTTATACTATTAAAATTAATATTGTGAATTTAACTACAAGAATTTAATGATGAGAAAAATATATCTTAAATATAGGATTTAAAGAGAGACGGACAATAGGAAAATATTTTTATTTCCAATTGTTTTTAAATTTTACATTCCATTTCCATTATTAATAAAAACATTTCTTATTTATCATACTTATTATTGTTTAATATGTATGTTAAAAATTCCCCCATTTTTTAATTTCTATTTTTTTATTTTATTTATTTTTTAATTTTATTATTTAGTCGTGGCAACATGGATTAACCCATTCGACCCAAAATGATTTAATTTCTTACCACCACCTAGATGAAAACACTATTTTTTCTAGGTAGATTTTAAAATTATAAGCTTTTATGTTATTGAAAATTTGGAATTACTAATTTATTAAGTATGGATTTAATTAATAGAACTTAATGATGAGAAGAAACAAAAATTACTTAAATATATGATTCAATGAACATGAATGCAAGTTAATAACTTAAATGTTAGATTTAATGAGAGAGAATTGAATAAATTGAATATCTTTAAATTACCTATTTTCAACTCATTTAATATCAAGAACCAATTACCCTATTTGCCCTCATTTTTTATCAATAAATTTAAATATAGAGGGGTAAATTTTGTCTTTAGAAAATTCCAGAAATATTCTTAAGGCCATTCGTGCTTTTTAAAGTAGTATAGATAATGTAAAAAAATATAAAATATAAAAGTATTTTATAACATAGTGCGCAAAACTACTTGGTGGCTAGGCAAGGCGAGCCTCCAAGGGCACCTTGTCTCCTAGAAGTCACCTTGACAACTATGCTAGACGGTTTAACCAGAAAACCAGTAAACCAGTCCTAGTTTCATGAAACCGTCAGAGCCATTAAATAATTGAAATTTTAAAACATGTTCGGCAAGACTTGAACTCATGACCTCTTATTTTCATATATTTTTTAATTACCAGTCTACCTCTTGTGTTATTTAATGACACTTTATTTTATATATTACTTTATTACATACATATTTTAAAGAAAATGTAAATTAAGAGACTTGAACCCTGGTCATTTGATTTAAAAATTAAGGAATTTGCCATCCATCCACCATATTTAATTATATTAAAAGTTGTAAAATATATTATATAATATTTATATGACCATAGCATATATACATAATTACATATATGCCACGTCATCACGGTTTGACCCCGGTTGAACCTCTAACCCATGAACGTCTCCCTTCTCCAGTTCTATGCCCAGTCTGGTTCACCAGACATTGCATTGATATCTATGTACCATAACATGGTAGGTCTGTAGTTATCTGGATCAGCTGAATTGCTTTAGGAAAACTATTAGCAAGTACTACTTTCATTGAATCCAATTAAGAAGTTGTCGTTTTGATTAAATACTTTCATTGAATCATACCATATCAGATCAGATTGGGGTGGGGTCCATATTCAATCCAATTATAAATGGATCAAATTTGAATTGTGTTAATCAGATCAGTTTGCAACCCCATCCATGTGGAGAAATGGTTTTGCACCCAAAGTAGCAACACATTTCTCTTGCTATCCTTATTGGCAGGCTAAATTGGATCCTGGAATACCTTTCCATGTCAGAATAAAACCTTCTTTTTGGGCAATGTTAATTATGAAAGCTAAATTACTGTAGCCGAAGTAGAAGAAAAGAGAAGAAGAAGAAGAAGAGATGCTGGAATGCCGAACTAAACTGCTCAGTCGGCAGTACTATTATTTATATTATGATGTAGTACAATGATACAGGAAGTTACTAGAATGCCCCTKATTAGTGATGGGACRCYCADACAACTTAAAACATTAAACAGGATTAGGCCCATTAACAAAGGCCCAGTACAGGACAACTTAAACTTAAGTATAGGCTAATAAGAACTCTTATCAGCCGAATACTCATACATACA